AGTATCAATATCTCCCGACCTAAGCCGGCAAGACAACGAGCCCGTGGCTCAATTATAAGGGCGTTCGACTGTGATCAAAGAGTTCGAGCGTAGGGCGGTGCACCACCTGGTTTTGGCTGTAGTTGCCTGATGATGGCTAAGAAGCCAGAAGTGTCCGATTCAGCCTATATTGGCTTTGTCGGTAAGGTATTTCTGCCTAAGCGGAAATGTCCATTACAGTTGAGTAATCAGGATGAATCGGTGTACGCAACTGCATATGTCCCAGCTAAGCAGACGTGACGTAGACTCCCTAGTTCAGTAGTGAGGCGTGCAACCTGGGATGGGGAAACCATTGATGGCAAAGTATCCAGAAATGGCCACTCCAGTGCCCCCGTCTTTGTCGGCAAAAAAAATCTCGACAAGCGTACCTTTTATCCTCTTATTTTTACGAGAAAAGGCATCTCCGGCGGTACAGGTAGCCTGGCGCTAAATTGCCGAGTGCTTGGGATAAGGACACGCGAATAGGTATCCCCCCACTCCCCTACGGAATTTAGCACAAATCCTTTTGTAATACATGGGATACCTACTCTTGTGCCGTCTATTCATTTTTTTCAGTAAATGTCACTTGTGGAAGCGACACAACTTGTCTGATGCCATTATATAGTAATAAAACATAAAGTAGTCAACACGTCTCCGAGGGACGCCCACAGAAATCCTCCACGTTACTCAGAATACCGATCGCGCCAAACGCATATACCCAGCCTACCGAGGACGGTGATGTTAAGAAAACACCTAACATTGTAATTAATTGTTCACCGATCTGTCTTTCAGGATGTATCCATCCTGATTGATGTCATACGAACTCGGACAAACCGAGTGTGTATTCGCAAGGTTGCTAATTGTAATGTTACTAATTAAGTTCCAGTAACATATCTTTATGTTACAGTAGTATTCCGGCAAAAGCAGGTACCCTAGAATAGCTATTTCTGGCTGTATTGGCCGTCGTCAGCTAGAGGTAGCCAATAGTTATGACGTTTGCCTCTGACCGGCGAGACGCGAGTTCGAAACTCGAGTGTGGCAGCGATTTCCGCGGCTACATTAGACTTGGTTACCCCTAACTGACGACGGCTAATACAGTCAGAAATAGCCATTCTAGGGTGCCTGCCTTTGCCGGAATACTACTATAACACCAAACATTATTTAGATTGTCGTATAAGATTGTAGTTGATGCGGAATGATCATCGTACGAAGATTGCAAAACTGAAGGCGTTTGTATTCTGTATCTCTGTTTTGGGTATCAAGAGGCAACTGTACATGGAGGGGTTGTTGGAGATAGTCTCTTCAGA